CACAATGGCTTGGGTTGCTGGCCCTTGGGTCCCTGGTTTTTGGGGGTTTTGCCTCAAACCCTGTCTCCAAACAGTGACATCACTGTGCGACATCCCAGTGTGATAACATCATCCTAAAGTGACATCATCATGTTGGGGACATCACATGGCGATGCTCTGGTTTGAAGGCTAAACTCTGTGGTTTGAAGCTGGTTCTACCATAGAATTTTGCTCAAAAACCAGAGCATCGCCATGCGATGTTCCTGATGTGATGATTTCCCTTCCGGGTGACATCACTGCATTGGGAAAGTCCCAGAACGCCCCTCCCAAATCCCCCCCCCCGTCAGCGCAATGAAGGGACCTGGCAACCCTAACAATGGCACTGCGAGTGTCCCAGTGAAAACAACTGCACTCCATTTCATGGTGCACCCTGATGTTTCCAACATTTTTCTTTATAACTCATATGTACAAATGCGCCTTCCCAGAAGTGAGGACACACCACATACATCCGATCAACCAGTCCTAGTCCATAAAAGCTCATGCTACAATTAAAAAGTTGTTAGTCTCTGAATGTATTTAAACCCATCTGCTCGAAATCTATACAAATAGTACCCAATCATTTTCTCTTTCCCCCCATGCTTAACACTTTCATTATCCGTACCCTGGTGTGGACATCAAGGGAATCCATGCAGTTGTTTTAAACAGATTGCAGGTGCCAGGAACACACTGCTAGCATCACCCTTCAGTTCATGCTATCCCAGTGAATAATCAAGGACCCTCACAGTACCACAGTACCACAAATCATTGATGGTTTTCAGAGGCTTTATGAATAATCCAAGAAAGTACAAATTTGGTATTCAAAATAGGCAATTCAATAACACACACACCTATAACTATATTGTTCTCCAAAATATTCACAACACACATGCTTCTTTCTGAAAGCAATGCTTGAGTATCTTCAGAATCTGGATTTTTTGACAAATGGTGGTCTAGTGTTTATTTATCTAATAAAAATATGTATATCCCACCTCTCCATATTGCTCAACACTATAAAAAAGATTCAAATTTAAAACAAAGGGTAGCAGAAGATAAGTGGATAAATTAAGGGCAACAATAGTATATCAGCAAGCATAACTGGAGGCTAACAGCACAGGGCATGTGACAATCTATTATACTGGAGTTCTTTGCAGGTCCCATTTTTACATTTCAAATGTTATCTTCCCAACTATGAGGGCAGAAACCTTTTCTTTCTTAAGAAAAACCAGAGATTATTAAAACTCCATATCACATCTCTGATATGAAATTCTGTGCACAGGAATCACAAAGAAATAGGCTGAAGTGTAATTAAAAAGTGGATTTACCCCCCCCTCAATCTTTCAAAGAACATTTAAATGATCGTGCCCCAAAAAACAAACCCAAAAGCAACCCACACATTGAAAAAACCTCATGTTGGTTAATCCACAGCAAGGGAAAAAAAACAACAACCCAAAACAGCATGGATTAACAGTAGTTTGTAAAACTGTATAAAATCAACACTGAAAGAATGGAAGGAGTCCACCTTCATTATGTGAACAACATGGTAGATAAAGCCTACTAATTCCAACACACCCAGCATGTTTCAAGTACAATTCATCTGGAAGAACAGAACAAGAGGGCAACATTTGCGACAGATCGGGTAATACCTCTACTGCAGCAGTTAGTGGTTTTCAGTGTAAAAGACTCGCAGCAGAAGCCTTTCCTCCTTCATCTGAGTAAAACGGCAAAGGTTCCCTTACTTGAAAGCCAGTCGAATCTGACTCTAGGGTTGCGGTGCTCCTCTCCGTTTCAAAGCCGAAGAGCCAGCGCTGTCCGAAGACGTTTCCGTGGTCATGTGGCTGGCATGACTAAACACCAAGGCACACGGAAAGCTGTTACCTTCCCACCGAAGTGGTACCTATTTATCTACTTGCAATTTCTTGCTTTCGAACTGCTAGGTTGGCAGGAGCTGGAACTAGAGATGAGAGCTCACTCCATCATGCGGCACACTCGGGTCTCGAACTGCTGAACTACCGACCTTCCACAGCCTGTAGTTCAGCGTCTTAACCACTTGAGCCACCGCAGCTCCTTCATCTGAGTGCACCCTGGCAAAATATTAAAAGACCTGCATAGGAAAGTTTTCACTGACTTTTTTGATGGAGAACCACCATAAAAGGCATATTGAAAAAGCTTATAACTGGCATGGTCAAACCAGTGAGTCAGCCAAACATGGATAAAAAAATTGAATAAACTACTTTTTCCTGATGCAGCATTTGAGA